TTTAATGAGACCATATTATAATCACGTGGTTTTAGTGTAAGAAATTAATTAAATTCTTCAATCTTCATCATGCATGTAGCTAGGAAGGATCTTCTGCCACGTGTGCTATTATTTTTATCCTTTTTTTATTTATAAGCCAAAATTGTTACTTTCATTTAAAAGCGTGGTTAGTACAAGACCCATAAATATAAGGAAAAATTAGTATATGGTCTCTAGTTTTTATTGTTCATTGACTAAGACCTTATTAGTTATCAAATTTTGATTCAAGTCTCTAGCATTAATGTGATAATGAATTTACTTGTTTATTATATAATTTTTTAATATAAAAATTAGTAATTAATTTAGGGTTTAATACTCACACCTCTATTAAACTTCTAATTAATTTTCAATTCAAACATTTCCAAAATAATAAAAAATTAAATTAAATTAAGTTTGTACCTATTAGTTTTTTTTTATATATATAAAAAGATTCTCAATTTTTTAATCTTAAATGTACCCATTCATATAATTTTTCAATTTTTTTAATCTTAAATGTACCCATTCTCAAATATATCAATTTGTTATATGTAAAATGTACCCTTTTTTAAATATAAAATCCATTCAAATTTTTTAATCCATGTTTAAACTTATATGGATACATTCTTTTTCGTTGATTTGAGAATGTATCCATGTTTTGGTACAATAACTTTTTTTGTTAATTTTGGTTAATGTACCCATACATATATGTATATATATATATACACACACACACACAATATAATAGAGAGTATAATTTATATTTTATTATTTTTAATCCCATAAATTATGGGTTTTATTTAAAATCTCATTAATATAAACAATTACAATTTTCAATTTTTAATTTTTAATTAAAAAATATAGTAACTTACATTATTACATTAATGTTAGGGACCTCAATCAAAAACTAAAAACTAACAAGGTTTCAATCAAAGAATATTGATAGCTAGGGACCGCATCCAAAGTGTCCCTAAATATAATCATATATTTCTCTTGACCAAACTCCAGACGACACGTAGCTTTGTACGGGACGAGATGCCTTACCTTAAAATATAAGAACCACGTCGAAAGTAGGTCATTTTGAAAAGAACCTAACCAAAAGAATGCTAAATAGCCAAAATGGTCCATGAGATTTGCATAACTCGTCACTTTGGTCCCTAACATTTCAAATCAAAAGTGGTTCCTGAGATTGTCCACCATCCATTATTTTGGTCATTCCATTAAAAACTTCCGTTAAGTGTCTCGGAGCTCTTGGCTGAAAGTTTGGGCAATTTTCAAAGCTTCATAACTCAATCGTTTCTTAACCAAATTCGACCCAGAATATATCAAAATGAAGATAGGAAAGTGTAGAATAAGATTATACCTATTTGGAAGCCCAATGGTTGCCGGAGATGGCCGGAAAATAGCCTCAAAGTTGACTGATCCGAGGGTCGAATTTAGTTAAGAAACGATTGAGTTACGAAGTTTTGAAAATTGCCCAAACTTCCTGCCAAAAGCTTTGGGACACTTAACGGAGTTTTTAACGGAATGACCAAAATGATGGATGGTGGACAATCTCAGGGACCACTTTTATTGATTTGAAATGTTAGGGACCAAAGTAATGAGTTATGCGAATCTCAGAAACCATTTTGACTATTTAACCCCAAAAGAATAATGAAAGAGCACCAACGCACGCAAACACAAAGAGGTTATCAAAATATAAAGAATTTTACTCACGTGTTAACTTTAATGAAAGCTAGCAAATTAGCAATAGCATACAACATTTTCCCCATAAATTAAAGTCCTTTGATTTTGATTTTACTTGAAAACTTTGTATTACGTCTTTTTAAATGAAAATTTAAATATTGTATTTAGTTTTTTGTTTTACAAACTAAAATTTTATGTTTTTATTTCACTCAATAAAATTCAAGAATCTACTTATTTTTTCCAAAAGTAAATTGTACATTATTCAATATACTTTATTCCATTTTACTAGCATTTAACCAAGCAAAAACTCTATTTATTTAAATAAACAAAAATCATAGTAACACACACATCATACACACAACAATGGCTTCTTATCTCAAAGGCGTATAGAAATCAAAAAATTATTAATTTATATATTACATGGGACTTCTATGAATTTTTATAATGTTTTATCTTATAAATTTAGTATGTTATCGGAACCGGCCAAAAACATTACCGCGTACTAAATTATTGAGGTTTCTACAAGAGGATAGGCCAAGGAGATGTTTGGGACGAAACCTGAGTGAATCCGCAGCAAAGCGAAGCATGAAAATCATCAAGGTGATGCCAAAGATCTTCCCTCACACTAGGTTACTGAGACGGATAAAAGGTTAGACCACTAACGGAGTAGTAGTTTGGGGCATTCAAGCTGGCTCTTTTTAGCATAGATGTAGGGAAGAGTACAACATGGAATGTTGTGACGAAACATAGTATTTACACCTAAATGAAAGGGGCTTAGTGAATTCTTCTTCACGAAAGTCTTGTTCAACTTATTTAGGTAAGCACTAAGGGGAGGGCCATGCGGGATAAGCAGGTGTTTCAGGAGACGGTCTAAAAATGGGTATGCGTAGTTCAAGTTTTTGCCCTATTCACCAAGGAATATTTTTTGTGACAGCCCATCCCGGACGTATATATTATTTATCCTCGAGAGCATGGGAATTTCTATTATACCTTTGTTATTGTTGAGTTGTGTGTGTGTATAGACTAAGATTTTGGACCAATAGGTTTTATTCCATATTATTTGGACCCAATTAAAACTAAAGGTTCTAATTGTTTTGGTTGGTTGTAAGAAAATTAGGACCACACACACACCTAATCCCGTTGACCTTCTCTTTCTCTCCTTCTCTCGGTTTTTCTTCCATGTCCGTACAATTGTACGAACAAACCTTGAACCCTCCATTTCACGCATGGATCGAGCTCGTGGTTAGCATCATCATCTTCATCTCATCGTCACGCACTCATCTATACCATTTTTAGAATGTGAAGACCTTATTTTCCCGAGAACCCAATAACCCAGTTTTGGGTCACTGTTCATGCACTTGTGTTATCTAAGTTTTTAAGAGATTTAAAGCTACTAGTAAACTTTAGGACATCTTCACGAAGCTCGGAGAAGAAAAATGAAGTGAATTGGACATCAGGAAGTCGAGTTTGGCGAGTTTCAAGTTTGGCCGGATTATCAAGGTTCCTCCGTCGAAATCCCGTGGATTTCAAGCCTTGAAAGTGGTAAGGTTTTGTTCCTCTCGTCCTAAGCTACATTTTGGTACAAATTTCATGAAATTTGGTTGAGAAATGAGCGGGAAATGACGATTTGAAGTTTTCTAGTTTTTCGGCAACGACGTCGGTCACCGGAGTTCGAAGGTTGAAGACGACGGAATATTCCGTCAAGTTTGACAGAATATTCTGACGGCGTCAGGTTAGTTTTAACAGAATATGCTGCTTTTTGACGGAATATTCACTAATGCCGTTAAAGATTCTATTAGGCGTGCCAGGCACGTGGCCGTGCGTGGGGGAGCGTCTGGCCGTGCCCTTGCCGGTGCGTGGGGTATCAAAATTTTTTTCTAAAAATATGGGGGTGTTCCTGAGGTTGAGTAGGTCATGGTGTCATATTCAAATGCCCCATTTGAGCTTTGTATGAGAAGTTATTTCCTAGTTTTGTGTATGTGCTTTAAATAACGTTTATTCAGTTATTTCGCATATAGGTGAGACCTATCCTGAGGACGAGCACCATCAATTGAGGCTCGGGGGCTACGACCCTTCGACATATCAGTGAGTGGGCTTTTGGTTTTCCGTATATACCTATATACTTGAGTTTTTCCCATAAAATGAATTTGAATGATTATATGTTTTGAAATGCCATGCAAAGTATCTGCCTATTTTATTTATGCATTAGTAGTTGCATATAATTATGATTGGTGCTGCGGACGCACATGTAAGTGCCAGGTAAGTTCATAAATTAAAGATGTGAGATTACTTCAATTATGCGAGTTATGATGTGATGTGTTGAGAGCTCATAAACTTGCACCCGGCGTTAGTGCTCCCACCCAGAGTTAGGGCACAGTCTTTCACGTGATGTTCACCTCCCGCACCATATGTTTACCTTGGATCCAAGTTAGGTGCACAGGCTTGTCGTACATACCACTTTAGGTGGTTCCGACTCGTAGGTGACCTGCGATTATTCGCACAGCCTTCACATGATCGTAGCACTAGAGCATATTTACTTTACACCTAGTCTTGTCATACAGACCACTTTAGGTGGTTCTGACTCGTGTGCAGGATTTGATTTGATATGATTGAGATTGGTTATGAGCTATATATATATATTCAGCCGTGCAGATTGAGTTCGAGGGATTTGGCTGATGCGATATTTGACATTGATATATTTTGCCTGGATTACTTATATCATTGCATTGAGATACTTTGGCATGGTATACTTTTATGGATTTTAATCTTGAGTATGATTTTAGTTATAGTATATATATTTTCTGGGAAATTATACAGGTTTTACGGCGAAAGGTTACAACTTTTGAGAAATGAAATGATTTGAAAAGCATTGTTTTTTCTCACTCACACTCTCTATTTTGTGCCCCTCCAGGTTTTAGGTAAAAGTGCTTGGTGGATCACGAGGATTTCAGTGAGGGTTCTGACAGAATATCATTAATGTAGGATCACCTTTGGGTGTTGAATAATTAGTACTTGTCCTGCTTGACTGCACTTAGGATATTTATGCTCTGGTTGTGTATTTCACACTTAATCTCGCACTAGCACTTTATCTTAGCTAGTACTCTAGTTGATTTGGTTTTTGTTTATTCATAATTCCTTATATCTTTATTACTTCTACATTGTGCACATGGCTACGTCACCCTCACGTGACGGCCATCATGCCCTTATTGTGGTCGGGGTGTGTCAATTTGGTATCAGAGCCTAGGTTTGCAGTCATGCATATCTTGAGAATTTCTAATTATTCTGATGTCTTCTGTCAGAACTATGCCGCCTTATAGAGATCCACGTTCTTCTGTTGAGCCTAGTTTCCCTGATATAGCTCAGTTAAGGAAAGCTATAGCTAATGCTATTCAGTCTTCGCTTCGTCCTCCCCAAATGACACCCCTTGAGACTGTGTATAACCTGAAGCTGAATCATTTTATGAGGAATGAAGAACATGAAGGAACGGAGAAATGGTTTAATCATATTGAGTAGACTTTTCGTGTAATGCAGAGTTAGGGGAATCTTCCTCCTGATAGGTGGGTCGATACGACTACCTGGTTTTTGGGTCCGGAACCTGCATCCTGGTGGAGACAGGAGTCTTATCAGTTGACCCCAGAGGAAATTGCGGACTGGGAAGTATTTAAATAGTTGTTTCAGAAAAAGGTTTATTCCCCCTGAGTATATTGATCGCAAAAAGCAAGAGTTTACTCAATTAAAGCAGGGGAAGATGACGACAAATGAGTATTATAGGAGATTCACTTATTTGTTCCACTATCATCTAGAGGTTGCAGCTAATCTGGTTGAGATGCTCCGTCGTTTCAGGTTGGGTACTAAGAAGAAATAATGTTCTATAGCGACCTCAACTCCCTGTGCTACTTACCAGGAGTTTTATGAGATTTTGTTGATGATTGAGGACTCAGAGAACATGCCCAGTGAAAGTAAAGATGAAGAAGAAAAGAATGGGAATCAGAGGCGAGATAATAAAGGTAAAGGTCAGTCTTCTCAAGGACTTTGCAAGACTCAGAACTTTAAGAGGAGTGTGACTAGTTCCAGCTCTTTTAGCGGAGGTTTTGGTGCCACTGGTCAGAGGAGAGGTGGTAGATTTTCAGGAGGTCCTAGATTCCAGAAGTAGGGAGATGTTGGAAGAGGAAATGCTCATTTGTGCCGCATATGTAATAATCGGCATTTTGGAGAGTGTAGGAGAGGTAGCAGTGGATGTTTTACTTGTGGGCAGATGGGGCATAGAGCTATAAATTGTCCCCAGAGTCAGTAGAGGCCCCAGCAGCCTTTTATGCCACCACAGCGCCGATCCAGCAAGTTCCAGGGTCTACTAGTTATGGTCAGATGGGTCGAGGTGGTGCTTATCATTATCAGGGTGATGCCGCTCTTTATGCTTTAGGGCAGTATCAGTATTCGCAGGATCCCTATTACCAGTTTGGGTATTCTTAGTATCCTGGAAGGTATATGTCGTATCCTTCTATTCCAACTGGTGGATCTCAGTGGTATCAGATAGGACAGCCCCAACAAGTAGAGATTGCTTCCAGTAGTGCAGGATCTTCTAAGCAATCTGGTCAGCCGAATCAGGGGCGAGGTAATCAAGCTAGTAGAGGTCGTGAGGGACGACAACAAGCCCAGGGACGTGTTAATAATATATCTATGCAAGATGCTCAGAATCATCCGGATTTGATCATGGGTACGTTAAACATTCTTGGTCACTTTGCTAGAGTTTTAATTGATTGTGGTGCTACGCATTCTGTTATTTCTCATACATTTGCTCAAGTGACGCAACCTCATCCTACACCTCTAGGGTATGATTTAGAGTTTGCTATGCCTAAAGGGGAGAGATGTTATGTTGATTGTGTATATCCAAGATGTCCAGTGATGGTGGATGAGGTGGTTATGCCAGCTAATCGTATCCCGTTAGATATTGTTGATTTTGATGTGATTTTGGGCACATATTGGTTGCATTATAATCGTGCCAAGATAGATTGCTACGAGAAAACGGTTACTTTCCATCGTCTGGATTACTTGAAGTTATTTTTGTAGGGTGATGCATGGTGTTATTTCTGCTGTAAGAGCAAAAAGGTTGTTATCGAAAGGTTACTAGGGATATTTAGCTCATGTGGTGCTGAATGATGTTACTTCTAGTAGTGTGGAGGATGTTCGAGTAGTCAGACATTTTCCTGATGTATTCCTTAATGATTTACCTGGATTACCGCCAGACTGAGATGTGGAGTTCGCTATTGATTTGCTTCCAGGTACGAATCCTATATCTTTGACTCCATATAGAATGGCTATTGCTGAATTGAGGGAATTGAAAGTCCAGTTGTAGGAATTAGTCAATAAAGGTTTTATTCAGCCTAGTACTTCACCCTGGGGAGCTCCAATTTTGTTTGTAAGGAAGAAAGACGGGACTTTGAGGCTATGTATTGATTATAGGCAATTAAATCGGGTAACGATTAAAAACCGTTATCCGTTGCCGAGAATAGATGATTTGTTTGATCAGCTTCGAAGTGCCTGTGTGCTTTCTAAGATTGATTTGAGATCTGGTTATTACCAATTAAAGATCAGCAGCGAAGATGTCCTTAAGACTGCTTTCAGGACTCGTTATGGTCATTATGAGTTTCTAGTGATGCCATTCGGATTAACGAACGCACCAGCAACTTTTATGGATTTGATGAATCGAGTATTCCAGCCATTTATAGACAGGTTTGTCATTATTTTCATTGATGAAATTCTGGTATACTCTAAGTCTAAAGCAGATCATGTTCGACATCTTACCTTGGTGTTAAAGAAATTAAGGGAACATCAGTTTTATGCTAAGTTTAGCAAATGTCAATTTTGGTTGAATCAAGTGGCATTTTTGGGACATGTCATTTCTACTCAAGATATTCAGGTGGATTCTCAAAAGGTAGCAGCCGTGGAGAATTGGGAACAACCTCAAACCGTCACTGAGGTACGGAGTTTTCTTGGTCTAGGAGGCTATTATAAATGGTTTGTTAAGGATTTTTCAGTCATTGCTTTACCATTAACGAGGTTGACTAGAAAGGAAGTTAAGTTTGAGTGGGATGATAATTGTGAGCAAAGTTTTCAGCAATTGAAATATTATCTCACTCATGCACCTGTTTTGGCACTCCTAGATGATAGTGGTAATTTTAAAGTTTATAATGACGCTTCCTTGAATGGCCTGGGTTGTGTGTTGATGCAGCATGGTTGGGTGATTGCTTATGCTTCAAGACAATTGAAACCTCATGAGAAGAATTACTCCACTCATGATCTAGAGTTAGCAGCTATCATCTTTGCTTTAAAGATTTGGAGACATTATCTTTATGGTGAGAAATGTAAGATCTTCACAGATCATAAGAGTCTTCAGTATCTTTTTACTCAGAGGGATCTTAATCTTCGGCAGCGAATGTGGATTGAGTTGCTTAGTGATTATGATTGCACGATTGAGTATCACCCTGGTTGTGCAAATGCAGTGGCGGATGCACTTAGTAGGAAAACTCCAGCTAGACTTAATGCCATCTATGATTGTCATATTCCTCTTTTTGCGGATTTAAGGTCCACTGGAGTGGAAGATCGAGAGGAAGCCTTACTTGCTAATTTTCAAGTCAGGCCAATTTTAATTGATCGTGTACTTGAAGCCCAAATGAATGATGAAGAGACCCAGGAAATAATTCAAGCAAGGAATCGGGGGAAAAAGAAAGACTACAGAATTCGAGAAACTGATGGCATGCTTATGCAGGAAAGTAGAATGTATGTGCCAAATAATATGGAATTAAAGAAGGCTATTCTTGATGAAGCACATATTTCAGCTTATGCAATGCATCCAGGAGGTACAAAAATGTATCATACCATTCGACCATTTTATTATTGGCCGGGTAGGAAAAGAGAAATTGCTGAATATATGATTAAGTGTGTCATTTGTCAGCAAGTCAAAGCAGAAAGAAAGAAGCCTTTTGGATTGATGCAGCCACTTCCCGTTTCACAGTGGAAATGGGAAAATATTACTATGGATTTTGTGTACAAGCTTCCTCGCACACAGAATAGTTACGATGAGATTTGGGTGATAATTGATCAGCTTACTAAGTCAACACATTTTATTCCTGTGAGGGAAAAGTATTTTTTAAGCTAATTAGTTGAATTATTTATATCGAAGATCGTGAAGTACCATGGGATTCTAGTTAGTATTATCTCAGATTAGGGCCCTAGATTCACTTCCAAATTCTGGATAGCATTCCAGGAAGCTCTTGGTTCGAGATTATTTTATAGTACAACATATCATCCTCAGACAGATGGATAATCAGGGAGGACCATTCAGACGTTGGAAGATATGTTGAGATCTTCAGTGTTGTAGTTTGGTGACGCTTGGCATAAGCGATTGGATTTGATGGAATTCGCCTACAACAACAACTTTCATTCAAGTATTGGTATGTCACCTTTCGAGGATCTTTATGGTAAATCTTGTCGCACACCCTTATGTTGGTCAGAGGTTGGTGAAAGAGTTTTGGTGGGTCTTGAGATAATGGAGGAGACTACGCAGAATGTTCAGGTGATTAAGTCTAACCTGAAAGTAGCCTAAGACAGAAGAGTCTAGCAGACAGACATGCCACTGACCGGATGTATAATGTAGGTAATTGAGTATTTCTGAAGCTATTAACATGGAAAGGTGTTGTGTGGTTTGAAAAGAAAGGCAAGCTGAGTCCTAGGTACATTGGACCATATATGATCATTGAGCGAGTCGGTGAAGTTGCTTATAGGCTTGAGTTGCCTCCAGAGTTATCCAAAGAGCACGATGTTTTTCATGTCTCTATGCTTCGTCATTATGTCTCAGATCCTTCTCGTGTGATACCTCCTCAACCTTTGGAAATTAATTCAGATTTGACTTATGATGATGAGCCAGTGACTATTTTGGATTGGAAAGATAAGGTTCTGAGAAATAAGACAGTGCGCCTAGTGAAGGTTTTGTGGAGAAACCACTCGGTGGAGGAAGCCACATGGGAGACGGAGGAGCGTATGAAAGAGATGTATCCGCGCTTGTTTTATAATTATTAGTGGATTACCTTTATTGTGTAAATTTTGAGGATGAAATTTTCTTAAGGGGGGTAGGTTGTGACACCTCGTCCCGGACGTATATATTATTTATCCTCGAGAGCGTGGGAATTTCTATTATACCCTTGTTATTATTGAGTTGTGTGTGTGTATAGACTAAGGTTTTGGACCAATAGGTTCTATTCCTTATTATTTGGACCCAATTAGAACTAAAGGTTCTAATTGTTTTGGTTGGTTGTAAGAAAATTAGGACCACACACACGCCCAATCCTGTTGACCCTCTCTCTCTCTCATTCTCTCGATTTTTCTTCCATGTCCATACAATTGTACGGGCAAACCTTGAACCCTCCATTTCACGCACGGATTGAGCTCGTGGTTAGCATTATCATCTTCATCTCATCGTCACGCACTCATCTATACCATTTTTAGAATGTGAAGAC